GAGATGTTGGGAGGGCATGATTATGAAGAACATCATCATCACGAGGAGGATGTTGTTCTCCTGGAGATGACCCAGAAAACCTTCGAAACGGAGCTGGAGAAGTTTGGGGAAGATGATCAGTTGGAGAGCAGCAGCAGATCGGTGAAGGACGCCGCCATGGGAGAGGACGACCCATTTCTTCACAATCACACTAATAAGAGGAAGCGTTACCATCGCCATACTCAGCTTCAAATCCAGGAAATGGAAGCGTAATCATCTTCTTCTTTACACTCTTTTTAATTGCTTCATTGCTTTCATTATCTTCTAATTACCTACCTGCCTCTTTATAATACAATGTTATGCATTAAAAAAGGTTTAATAATTTAATAATTTTTTTCAAAAATAAATTATTGGTTGCTCCGCTAATTTAGAAAATGACCATGAATTTATAGTCTAGGAAGTCCCACGTCAGCTAATTTAAAAAATGATCATGGATTTATAATCTAGGAATACTATTTCTATTGGTGTGAGGCCTTTTAGGGAAACCCGTATCAAAGCCATGAGAGCTCATGCTTCAAGTGACTATATTGGTGTGAGGCCTTTTCGAGAAACCCATAACAAAGCCACGAGAGCTTAGGCTCCAACTGACAATATCATACCATACTGTTCATCTAACCTTAATATCTTTTTAAAATTCATGTTCTAAAACACAAAATTAAAATTTATTTTTTATTTTTTATTTTTTATTTTTTATTTCATCATAATTTTTGTGGTGAGTGTTTACCTTGTTTAAAATTTGAATTTTAAGTCAATTTTAATATATATATATATATTTATTTATTTATTTAAAAACTATTTTCTTTAAATTTCAAATTTTGGATGAAAATTGTTTAAAAAGCAGGTAAAAATTGCTAGAAAATTATAAGTAGACTTAATTTTGAAAATATATATCAAACTATTTTCTTTAAATTTTAAATTTTGGGTTTGGTTTATTAAAATTGTTTAAAAATAGGTAAAAATTGCTTTAAAAAATTATAAATAGAAGTAATATTTATAAATTTAAATTTGTAAAATACAAGAAGAGAAATGAACTGGTTATCAAAAAAAAAAAAAAAAAAAATTAAAATACTTTTTAATAAATTATTTAATCACATGAAGTAATATGTGAAAATCATAAGTTAAAAACGAATTAATTTGAAGATAATTGAATTGAATGTGGAATGTTACAGGTTCTTTAAGGAATGTCCTCACCCAGATGACAAGCAAAGAAAAGAGCTGAGCCGTGAGCTAGGGCTGGATCCCCTCCAAGTCAAGTTCTGGTTTCAAAACAAGCGTACCCAACTCAAGGTCTCATTCTTCTCTGTATTCATTTTAATCATCTTTATTATAATCATCACTGTAATCATCTTTATAATCATCATTATAATCATCATTATCCATCCAAATCAATGGTTTAAGGCTCAACATGAACGCCATGAGAACGCAATCTTGAAGGCTCAAAACGAGAAACTACGAGCAGAGAACATGCGGTACAAGGAAGCTCTAAGCAACACCAGCTGCCCCAATTGCGGCGGCCCTGCCGCTCTCGGCGAGATGTCCTTCGATGACCAACATTTGAGGATCGACAACGCGCAGCTAAGGGACGAGGTAATCTACCTACTACCGTTAGGAATGGTATAATATTGTCCACTTTCAACATAACATAAGCTCTTAGTTTTACTTTGGGCTTCCCAAAAAGCTTCGAGATGTATTTTTAACCCATGATCATTCTCTAAATTAGCTAATCAAGGACTCCCTCTCAATAATCCTCTCCTCGAATAGAATACATTATAAAGCCTTCCTTGAGGCCTATGGAGCCCTCAAACAGCCTACCCTTAATCGAGGCTCGACTCCTTCTTTGGAGTCCTCGAACAAATTACACTTCCTTTGTTTGACACTTGAGTCACTTTTGACTACACCTTTAAGGCTCACAACTTCTTTATTCGACATTTGAGGATTCTATTGAGGGCATAGCTCTTATATCATGTTAGGAATCACGACTCTCTACTATGATATTGTCCACTTTGAGCATAAGTTTTCATGGCTTAACGTCTCGTACCAATGAAGATAATTCCTTACTTATAAATCCATATCATTCCCTTACTTAGCCAGCATGGAACTCCCTCCCAACAATTTTCAACCGCTTTTAATACTTAATTTTATTGGTTTAATGTTCTTTTACCAAACAGATTGAGAGATTAAACTCAGTTGCTAGCAAGTTTGCTGGGAAGCCATGGGCTTCCCATTCTCGCATCCCGCCCTGCGCCCTTGATCTTGGGGTTGGCAGAGCATTGCAGCCGCCCCAAGCAGAGTTCTTAGGGGAAATCTATGGAGTTGGAGACATGTTGAAGTCTGTCACTACTGAAATTGATAAGCCAGTGATCGTTGAGCTTGCTGTTTCAGCCATGGAAGAGCTTTGCAGAATGGCTCACGCAGGTGAACCCTTGTGGGTTCCTGGAGAAAACTCCATGGAAATGCTTAATGAAGATGAGTACCTCAGGACTTACTCTACAGGAATTGGCCCAAGAATTTTGGGGCTCAGCTTTGAAGCTTCAAGAGAAACTTCCATTGTTGCTTTCAATCATTTAAAACTTATCGACATTCTCATGGACGTCGTGAGTACTTTCACCTTTTTACTCTCTTTTTTTACTTACCTATTAGGCATAAAATTTAATTTTTTAAAGTCGCGACGTATATTTCAGAATCAGTGGTCAAACATATTTTGCGGGATTGTTTCGAGAGCATTGACCCTCGAAGTCTTGTCAACGGGAGTCGGTGGCAGCTATAATGGAGCTCTCCACGTCGTATGTTCTCACCCTTTTTTTAAGATTAAATTACAAGTTTGATCGTTTGACTTTCACATTTTGACATGTAAATTGTTGTTTGTGAAGATGACGGCGGAGTTTCAAGTTCCATCTCCTTTAGTTCCGACTCGAGAAAATTACTTTGTGAGATATTGTAAGCAGCAGACAGATCGGAGTTGGGCTGTGGTCGATGTCTCGCTAGACTATTTACGTCCCACTCCAACATCAAGGACTCGAAGAAGACCGTCGGGTTGCTTAATCCAAGAACTTCCCAATGGTTACTCAAAGGTCCGTTTTAGTTCTTTGAATTAAGCTGAATTTAGGCTTTGTTCGATAACTATTTGATTCATAAACGCCAAAATCGATAATGTGATCAGATTATGTGGGTGGAACATGTTGAAGTGGATGATCGAGCGGTACACAATTTGTACAAACGAGTGGTCACTTGTGGGCTTGCCTTCGGCGCCAAACGATGGGTCGCTACGCTTGATCGACAGTGCCAACGCCTGACCAACTCCTCTGCTGCCAATATTCCTGCAGTGGACATATGCGGTAAATGAACCCAACATCATATACTTTGTTAAATTTTTTGGGAAGTGATCTAATTTACTAATAATTTTGTTAAAAGTGGTAACCGGGCAAGAGGGGAGGAGGAGCGTAATGAAGCTAGCAGAGCGAATGGTTAGGAGCTTCTGCAGTGGCGTTGGAGCTGCTTCTGCACACAATTGGACAACATTATCCACAATTGATTCCGACCATGTTCGAGTCATGGCAAGAAAGAGTCTCGACGATCCGGGGCGACCTCCTGGAATTGTTCTAAATGCAGCAACTTCATTCTGGATTCCAATTCCCCCTAATAGGGTCTTCCATTTTCTTCGAGATCAAAACACTCGCAGTCAAGTAAGGCTCCGTTTGATAACTGTTTATTATTTTAGTTCGAACAATGATTATATAAAAGGGTGTTCTTTTTTCCTAGTGGGATGTTCTTTCAAATGGTGGGTTGGTCCAAGAAATGGCTCGCATTGGCAATGATCGCAACCCGGGGAACTGTGTGTCGTTGCTTCGTGTTAACGTAAGTGGGAATTTGTGGTTGTTGTTGATGTTGTTGTTGTTTTTCGTCAATTTCATTTAAATATTATCAAGAACTAAACGTGATTAAACGCATAACAGAGTACAAATTCAAGCCAGAGCAACATGCTGATACTACAAGAGAGTTGCAGCGACATTAGTGGTTGCTACATAACCTATGCACCAGTCGACACCGTCGCTATGAACATGGTGTTGAGCGGCGGAGACCCTGATTACGTTGCTTTGTTGCCGTCCGGATTCGCCATACTGCCTGATGGACCTAGTGGCCCCGATGCGCCAGCGGGAATTCTGGAGTTCGGGTCCGGTGGCTCCTTGTTGACAGTTGCATTTCAGATATTGGTGGATTCAGTGCCAACGGCCAAACTGTCTCTAGGGTCGGTGGCGACGGTGAACAGCCTCATCAAGTGCACGGTCGAGCGGATTAGAGCTGCGGTCATGTGTGAACATCCATGAATTAATAGAGAACCTTTTTTCTTTTTGGGTTTTTTTAAAAGAGTGAGCTAATCGAGATTTCAAAGAGGACAGACGAAAAAAAGTTTGAAAGGTTAAGAGTTATATGATGAAAAAGAAAAGGGAAGGAGTCAAAAACGAACCTTGTGTTATCCTTGCCTTGTGTTTGCAGGCTTGTCATGGTAATGGGTTCGGACATTGACTTCAAGTGCCAAAATGTTTAGTAATAAATTAAGCGTTTTTGTTTCCAAGGTTTTGTAGTTCTAATGGGAGGATTTCTTTTGTTAATTTAATGAACAATTGAAGGTTGTTCTTGGAGAAAAAGCTGAAGAAACTTGATTGATATAGAAATTATATATTATTGCATTAAAGGTTAACTTTAAGCTTGGTTTCTTTGCTTTCCATCTTTGAATTCAATTGATTTACATTCAATTGATTTACATATGAAAGCCTCAAACCGAACCTTCCTACGAGATATTCAGCATAAATTCAATTGATTTATGTATAAAAGCTCAAAATGAGTTTATCCAAAACGAATCTTCCTATGAGATATTCAACATAAAAATATGTAACGATAAAACAGAAGTTAGAACTGAATCGACACGGTTGTCCAACAAATCAAAGTCCTCGCAGTCTTGGTAACTATCATAGTTCAACATACTGTATTGTTCAAGAATTGTCCAAGTACAAACTCTGAATCAAACTTCATAACAATTTGAACTCCCACCCCCAAAAAAAAAACTTAAAAAAAGAAGTAAAACCAGAAACAAGAGTGATCCATGGTCCATGGTCCATAGCGAGTATCTTGGCTTCCATTTGAATGGAAATAAACATCGAGCAAGATCTGATAGCCGCAACTACAGCTCCATTCAACGCCCTGCAGATGTCAAGTCAAACACAGCATAGCATAGATGTAATGGGCAGGTAGGACTCCCACTCAAATTATTGATCTACATGAAGAATCACAAGTTAATGGCCGTGATTCACGAATCCATTCAATGGGGAAAACGTACAAGATGTTGCCGAACTAAAGCATTCAATTCGAACGTACAATACTCTAACCCTTTAAAGATGAGGATTTAGATCTAAGACTTAAAAGGAAATTCCACAGCAAAGAAGATGAAGGTTGGCCTCTTTTAGATTGCAATATACATATTGCGCATGAAATTTTCCATTTTAAAAATATACAATGATTCAAGCATAAGCCAAGTCATTCTAGCTATACTACTGTGAGAACAAGCGATCATTTGGAAAAACTTGTATAAGCTACAGCGAGAGTATAGACATCCATCTAGGCTAGCTCCGCAATCGTTTTCTTTGACTACCTTCTTCACTAACTCCCTGCGGTCAAAAGTTAACGGTGTGAGTTTTAAAAAAGCTAATAAATTCTTGCAGCTAACAAAGCACCTGGTATACATCAACGAGCCACCAAAAATAACTGTAGATTTCTATTAAAATATTAACTTACCGTAACCCATCAGCTTAAGCTTTAGGGTTGATCAATGATTTAACATTTTTTTTATGAAGTCCTATCTTTTCTTAGCTACCTCATAATTACATTATTTCTAGAGAATGAAACACAAGGAAAAACAGATGGCATGGATTTAAGGGAGAAAAACAGAAAAGATATAAGCATACCCTTTGTTCATCTTGGTCAAAACTTTCTGAGGGAACCACATTAGATTCGGTCCTGCATTTAGCATGCACTATGGGCCCTAACTGAGATCTATCCATGCCGGCTGTTTGTCCATCAGGTGCATTCATGTAGACAGCACCCCTATACATCCACTCCTCTGTTTCATCACTGTAAAAATCATCAAAAGGTTCTCCACATAATGCACACGTTTTCTGATCCTCATCAGCGGGCACAGCCAGTTCTTCATCATCCTTTTTCTCTACAATGACCTCCGCAGGCAAAAATCCTGGAACTGCCTCTGTTCCCAAAGCCTCTGCACCGCTAAGCCACATGCTTGTACTTACAAACCACTTTCGAGAAGGCTTTTGTTTCCTACTTTTTGACATGCGATTTCTAGTGACATGCCAATCCATATGATTACTATGCTCTTCCTGGGTCTTGAATCGAAGACCACAGGTCATGCATTGTCTAGGAAGATCAGCATATAGAGCAGTTATTGCAGAATCATGTCGCACCTTGAGTACATCTGGATTGAATTCTACCCCAACAGAATCCTAAACATTTAACTTTCTCAGTGGATAATATATAACAGTATAAAAAAAATTTAATGCCCAAACTAAGCTATTAAGAGGGATACTACTCAGATATATACCTGTACGGAAGCTTTATTGTTCAATGAGATCAAACCCTGGGCCATGAGAGAGCTTATCAGGCCAGAAAATGCAGTTCCAGGTTGCTGGCCAGGAACAAGGGATCCTGCATTTTGAGAGATAGTAGGATGAGGTCCAGCTGGAAGGGGTGGCAGCGGCCCTTGTAAATGCAATGGATTACTGGGGCTATTATGAACAGGCAAGTTCCATTGCCCAATAGGGACAGAACTTGACAAACACTCACTAATACCAGGGCGAAGTCCTTGAGAACTGTATCCTTGACTCAAAGATGGAGCCATTAAATGTGGTAACACTGGAGGTACTGCTGATGCACTAAAACTATCATGCATGTCCTGAGATGGTAGAAATTGTGGTTTTAAAGGGATGGTCTGCAATTGATTTCCCTGAGTCAAAAGAATACGCCCACCATGTTGATTACCAACTTGTGGGGACTTAGTTGTATGACTTAGCTCCTTATTTCTCACGTTATTCATCTGCTGCTCAGGCAAAAAAGACCTATTTGCACGATTGATGAAAGCATTGCTACCATTTAAAGACTCAAACTGACTCTTATTGTGTCCTGGCACATGAAAAGGGGGCCTAGAGGGTGGGCAAGAGTCCGAAAGATTCACAGGATGCCTTTGGCCCATAGACTGTACAACTGATTGTGACTCCATGCTAGAGTCAAGAGCAGAAGAACCCAATCTTGAAGCAACGGTAGGCCTATGTAAAGCATCATTGGTCGGAAGCTTGTCAACAAAAGGAGACATCTTCTCACCTCCAGATGAAGCTATGCCTCTCCCCAATAAAGGTATCTGGAAATTTCCTCCCGTTCCTTTAGTGCTCATGAGGTTCTGGGATGTCTGAGAAAGGTGACTGTGCATACTCCAAGCATCCTGATGATAGGAAAAACCCATACAATAGTTAACTTGCGGAATGCACAGTTCCTACTACATTCTCCTCAACAGAACTATACCTATAATTTATTGAAGAAAATAATTACCAAAAGCATGCTCTCGAATCAGAACACAGATATGGGTCTTACACCTCTCCCAATAAGTGTCTCAGTGATTCAAAACAGAAAAAACTAGGGAAAGAAAAGGTGGTATATCACCAATTACAAAACTTTTACACTGTGGGAATCTAACAGGTTTAGTCTATAAGTGTATGATAGGAATCCAATGTTATAGAATAAGTGAAATCATGAGCAATTGAAAACATGAATTACACTAATTACTAATTCCTTTGATCTGAAACTTAAGAAGTCCAGAGTCGCAAAAAAGTTTTAAACTGTAGTGTAAGCGTGTAATCCTTGGTGACAAAAAACACATCATGAACAGAGATACTTTACAATAACATTGGATAAAGAACAAGCAAAGAATGCCAGAAGCAAATGATAATAATGACGAGAATGAGATGAGAGAGCAAACAAATTCAGTAACTATAGAAGAATGAATAGAAGAAGATAGCTGAACCTGATGAGACGAATTGCTTCTCATTCCAGGCTCTATAGACATAGCATTTGATCTGTCAAATCCTAATCTTGTCCTAAATCTTGAAGGCGGGACAGGTGGCTTCAACATATCATTACTTCTGCCTCTGTCAGCTAATGTGGGGCTCATATCTTCCCAATCAAACTCTTCTTCTTCAGTGTTCTGCCACGTTACAGGAGTCATCTTGTTGTCTATACCATTCATAGAAAAATGTTCAGCCTGTGGTGGATTGTCATTTAAATAACCTTTTCCTTTATCGCTTCCATATGCTTCAATTAAAGCTCTTGGTCCCTCAAGTGCACATCCATTTCTAATATTAAATGAAGTACTTTCAAGTCCATTAAGATTATCGTCAGGATATTGTTTTCTCCTCCATTTATTAGTATCCTCATTCCTATTAATCATTCTAAAACCTTCATAATCATATACATTCTGTGATGGTGAGGCTCTAACCGCTTCAAGTTCATCACCAACTGATTGTAGAGGTCTATTGTGTCCAATCCTTGAAGACAAAGACGATTTTGCTAGCTTTATATTTGCTTTATTTGTTCCAAGAGAAAAAGAATCATGGCTCATGCTTCCCATTGAATTAAACGCTTGAGATCCACCATGTTCAAGACCATCTGCATGATCATAGTCATACTCTTCATATCCGGGAGCAAGTTTTTTATCATGAACTTTTAGAGTTGAGGCCCCTCTTGCATCTGGGATATGCTGCAGAGCTAAAAGCTAGTTACATATTTGTACGTTATTTATTCACCATGAATGCAAGATGTTCAAAAGAAAACAGAAAATTAACTATCCTACTAGCATTAAATTAAAGTAAGGGAATCATGTTGGGAGGTGTGGGTGTGTGTTTGTGTATTTCACACACATTTAAAGATATATAAGATGACGCACAACAAATGTATAAAATATGAATTTCATATTTGAACATGATCGACTCTACACAAAATCCCGAACAGTTTGAAGAACATGGATCTATCCTCCTTTTTTCCGGCATAAAACAAATTTTGATGGTAAATAAATATACAAAAGGAGGCAAACACCCAAAATAAGCCAAGGAATTATAAAAGAGCTCGCTTATTAGCTATAAACTATGAAGCACAGATACTTCATTTGTGGTAGAGAATCTATGTCGAGCACGGATTCAACCGGATATGCTTTGGAAACATGTATGATACATGAATCTGTTTCCCTTTTTAAAAATTTTGGATACTCATGTCCCCAAGATACGTATAGGTGCACATGCTGAACCATTTTTTGCCTTTAATTTGCTCAGCCCACAGCCTAGCCTAATTTAGAAGCCCACAAGTAATTTGTGCTCAGCAAACAGCCCCTAATACATTGTCATTCCACCCAACTATTTAAATAAAAGAAAAAAAGCAAATACAATTAAAAAATTAAAAACCCTGACTATTTCCTTCATTTTCATATCTGCGATTCACAAACCAACTCCACTCCGAAAATATATATATATATATATATTGCATCCTCAATGTATCCGTATCCTAGTTGAAATTGATATGCCTGCATGTCCCATTGTATTTGTGTCTCGTATTCGATCTATGTTTGTGCTTCTTAGGCTATAATCACTTAAATAGGAAATAACATAATAATTCAAAAAGTAAACCCCAACTAGAAAAAACAAAGATAATAGAATCTCATAATTTTTCTTTAGGAATTTCTTTGTCGTTGGAACTTTAAGGTTCCTTTTCAGCCAAATCTTCAAGAAGAAGAAGAAGAAGAAGCAATAGTACTGCAAGGCCATGAAACCTTCCCTTTCTTTTTTGAAGGGAGAGCTGCACACCATCAATTAAATAAACTCCTTGGTGCTATTCAGCAGGAGAGAAATTGGAGAGAATATCCCAAAGAGAGTAGGAGACCAAGATAAAACACAGTTCAAAGATAAGTTCACAGCAGCTCCTATATTTGCTGGCACAGAAAGCACCAACTAGGCCTGAGAGGACAATTTGAAAGTTGTCTCTATACAATATCATTTGTACTCTACTTACAAGACAAATGCTTAGCAATTCCTCTATTTACTAGCACAGAAAGCACCAAGCATGCGTGAGAGGACAATTTGGATGTCTTCTCTATATACCATCATTAGTATTAATCCCTTACAGAATAATTGACCAGAGGAAGATCATACACTCATTGGGAACTTTACATCTCATATTTACATACCACAATCTTGAAGAATAATATTCTCTCCTGCTGCACGAAAAAAAAAGCTAACAAGTGATTGAGCTTCCACAGTCTTATGTCTTGAGACGATCGAAGGATAACATTATCAAATTTTTAAGAAAGGGAGGCCACTCCTTGACTCCCCACCCTTGAATGATATACAAAAGGAAACATTTCATGAATGCAAGATATCTTACTAAATCTTTGACATCCCCAATGGAATTAACCAAAGCATACAATCTTTCAAAAGAATCACAAAATATGAAATTAGTGTACCCACAAACCTCACAAAACACCATCTCCCAGCTTGAATGAAAAGTGTTGCCTAAAAATGTGTAATCCTAAGGGATGTTGAGTAGGAAGAAGGTACCAAGAAAATCTTCTACAAATTCATCCATAATGGGTTGGTTTAGTAGTCATTAGGACTAGCGAAAAGCTAAATGAGCTTAAAGAAATAAATTCAAGTCATAGTAGTCACCTACCAAAGATTTAAAATCCTAAGAGTTTCTTTGGAAATTAAAAAAAAAAAAAAATAGGGTCAGGCGACTGTCCAGCAAATTTATTCAGATGTGCACAAGCTAGCCTAGACAGTTAAATATTTTTGAATAAATGACTGATAGAATAAATTCCAAATATGACTCCCTCACCCCCAAAAAGAAACATAAGCATTGTCCATCGAGCCTTCCCAAAAGAAATCTCTAATGACTTATTCCATTTTTGGAGTCACATTTGTTGGAGTCCTAAAAACTAATTGTTGTAGATAGAAGATTTGGAAGTACAAATTATGTGAAAGTTAACCACATCTTAACCAAATGCAACACCCAACCCCAACATAAATAATAGACGGCTGGGATGGACTAATCCAATTTATATATTAAAAAAAAAAACAAAAAAAAATATTCGTTCACATTCACTAAATGAAGGCAGGGAGGATGACAAACAGCCAACAAAAGGATGCAGGATGTTGAATATTCAAAGTGACAGCATGCAGATGAAGCAAACCCAAAAAAGTAGCAAAAGAGATAAATGCTCACTTTATCCCCCACTGAGTGTTCCAGTTGACGCAAGTATTTTGGATTGACATGAATGCCATGAGTTGGTCGAGGAGATTCAGAAGCCCTCGAGGATGTCAAAGCTGAGGTCTCTTGTGTTGTTAGCTGAGAAAGTCGAGCCTCGATCTTTCGAAGGATGGAAGGTGGAAACACAGTTGACCATGTCCCAAAGAGGTGACGCATTGCATTGTGCAAATTAGGATGAACTTGCCTGTAAGCCTCGCAAAACACCTTAGCACCAAAAACGAAAACAAAGGATTGATGAGAACCTCATGAAATTCAAACTAATAGCGGTATGAATATTGAAAACATAAGAATAAAAAGTGTGGACCAGAAACCAAAGTTTCATACCTCAGGTAAACGAGACGAGAAATAATTGATGTATTCGTGCCCAACATTCTTAACGATGCTGTCCAACAGATATAATGAAGGAAGTTTTTGGTCAACCGGAACCTGCACGAAAATTTGAAATGATGAACTGGAACGTTCGCAAGGTCTCGAAAAATATAATCCTCAAAGAAGATAAAAGCCTAAATTCTATAGCCCAAATCCCCATCAAATCGAAAATAAGGAAGATGCGATAGATAGATAAACCCCAAAAGAGAAAGAAAAACAGTCTATTCGAAAGTATTAGAATATACTTACTTCATATACTACCAGAAATTGAAACGTTCGAAAGAGTCTTCTCAACTCAAATTAGAGGAAAACAAAATTACAGAAACGAACCTCTAAAATACGCGAACAAATTAAGTCGGCAATGCCCTTCCCATGTTCTCTCTGCTCTTCAGCAAGAACAGTAAGATCCGTAATGATGGGCTTCGAATTAAAAGTGAGCTCCGACAACATGAGCTCGTACAACTGCACGATATCCTCAGTGGTAGGAAGGGGCGCAACATCAAGGCCGGAAACCCTGAATTCGTCATCCCGCTGCTTTAGCTGAGCTCTAAACCGGTGAGCTATTGAAGGGGAAGGCTTTTGTGGCAACTCATTGGGCATAGCCCTACCGGTGGTGGTGGGGAGTGGGCGGTCGGATGTATATGCTAAAGTTCTAGGGTTTCCTCGTGAAATTAAGAGCTTTTCCGATTCCATGAAAGGATTCATGAAATACAAAGTGTGTCGATTGAGTTCAGAATTTTATCCCGCCAAGGAGGGAAGAGAAATGAATTAGGGTTTGTTCCCACCATAGAAGAAGCTAGAGAGATAAACCAAGAGGGGAGCACCGAAGAGAGAGAAAGAGTTACGCTGTGACTTAGTTTAATTCTTCGCCGGGGAACAGTACCACCAATTTCCTCGCGACTTTTGTTTTCAAAGAAGTAAAATTACGATTTTAACGCCCTCTTTAAATTACCCTTCTTCATTCTTCGAGGTTTCGAATGTAATTTCACTACCTATTTTTAAAATAAAAATAGTAACAATTCTTAATATTAAATATTTTTTATTAAAAAATTAAAATTAAAATAACTATTCCCTCTCTCCCTCACCGCTCCCCCTTCCCCCCGCCCGTCGACCTCACCGCCACCGGAACAGCGCGGGTCCTCGCCGTCGGCAACCAGTCGACATCCTCTTATAGTGATAGAGGAAGACGATGATGAACGAAGAAGAAGATTGTGATGGTGTGGCGACAGCGGCAGGTGGCGGGAATCGCTTCGTCGGAGGAGCTCGAAGGACTGAAGGCGAATAGTTTTTTTTTTTTTTTTATAATTATTATCATTGTTAATTTTAAAAAAATGGTAAAGTTACCATTAATTTAGGGATTAAAAGATTAAAAAAAATGAATTTATTAAAATTCAATTTATACCTCTAAATTTTAGAGTTGATAATTGATTCAAATCTTAGATCTTATTTGACTTGTTAATATATTTATATGATTATAAACTATTATTAATTAATTTATAATCTTATTTTGCATTATTAGTATTTTATTATATCAAATAATTAATATATTATATAATATGTATTTTAATTTAACAGGATTGAGTTGAATGTGAAATCTATATTTATTTAAAAAAATATAATTTTTAATATAACTTGACATTATAAAATTTCATATTTAAAATTGAGATACACTTAAAACATTATTTTTTTACTATTTAAATTATAATGTCAAAAAATTGTTGGTATGCGTTCAAACCGACCAAATCTAAAAAGCATCTAAAAATAAAATAAAGATTACTTACCTAAGAGAATCTAAATATTTCCTTTTGGAAAAAGGTATTTTCCATTGACTTTAGGGAATTACATTAGGTAATTTTATGTTTGAAGTGCATTTTTTTTTTTTTTTGAGCAGAATTATATGAAATATTAAGATTTTTTAATTATTAGTTATTAAGATTTTGTTAAAACTATATATATATATATTTAATAAAAAATCATTCAAATTTTATATTAAATACACATTAAAATATTTGTAAATGATTTTCATATTTATTTCTAAGAGTTTTCTATATTTCTTTAAGTTTTATAAACAATTTTAACATTTTTCACCTAAATTGGGAAAGAATAATATCCCGACACTCGAACCGGATGTGAAGGTCTCCTCTCATTCGACTGCTCTTGCTGAAAGCTCGAGGCTTCGAGGAAAACCACTTATAAACTATACTTTTGAATTCATGGATATAGCATCAAACTTGATTTGATAATAATTGAATACTGTCGGCCTCGTTCATTGACATAATATTAAGCTAGTCATAGATGATCATGATTTTCGAGCAATAACAAACACGGAGCATGTTTGAATTGACTTTCTAAGTGCTTTCAGCTTTCTAAGCCCTTCGTATCTTTCTCCGACTCTTTTCGGTGTGCGGTCACGATAGCCTTACAGATTTGGAGACTGTTGGCTAATGCAAAATGATAGCTTGGAGTCAATATCGAGCTATAACTGCCCCTGGTTCCACCAAGGAGTTCCAGCATTGTAGGAGTGTTCCCCGGAATCCCATGAAATCTCATAAGCCTGCAGTCCAATAGCAAGGGCTGGTTCTTTTCCGTGCAGAGCAATCCACTCCGCCACGGCAATTTCTTTATCTTCTTCGCTTGTATACTCTTTCTTACTTCTTCCAAATGGATTGGACCCAGGATTAGCCATCTCTGCAACTGCCGCAGGCATGTAGATGGAATCACCAACCAATGGTGCTCCACAATCAGCCAGTTGTGCTCGAATCTGCATCATCAGTAACATCGCATGTGTTTTAAGAACTATGAATGCAAGAATTTATGAACATGGTTTTAAAATAACAAAGGTAATTACAGGAACAGAAAGACTACGCTAAAAACCTGATGTGTCCGACCAGTCAAGAGGTTGATTTTACATTCATATGCTTTCTTTTTGGAGGGCCAGCCACAATCTTCAATACAGTATTTTGCTTCAATATCAGCAACTGGCCATGAAACCTCTCTACATTCCAACACCTCGAGCTGACACAAGTTCCATCCATCAATACAGTCTGCAAGCAGAAGATGTTTAAAGCGACCAAAAGACTTAAACCTTCCTATTACATCTTAGTATGGATAAATTAATGGTCAGGGTTACAGGCCAGACATTGGACGATGTGCCAGTAAGGAGGCTGAGCCCCGAAGGGGGCTCAACATGAGACGATGTGCCAACAAGGACGCTGGCCCCAAAAGAGGGTGATTGGACGATCTACCACCGATAGGAGAAGGGGATGAGTACCAGCGAGGATGCTCGGCTTCGAAAGGGGGTGGATTGTGAGATCACACGTCGGTTGGAGACGAAAACAAAGCATTCTTTATAAAGGTGTGGAAACCTCTCCCAAGCAGACGCATTTTAAAAACCTCGAGGGAAAACCCGAAAGAGAAAGCTCAAAAGAAGACAATATCTGCTAGCAATGAGTATGGGCTGGAGTGACACGGTTGGGAGGGAGTTGAAATGTTAATGTGACTGGGGCAACCATTTGCATATGAATTTGTTAGGCAGAAAATTAAAACTGGTTTTCTAAGTGCTTGAGTTTATGGCTGCAAATTAATAATCAAACGGTATACGTATGTTCTCCAACAGATCAAATTGCAACAAATAGTTCAAAGCAACATCCGATTATTATTTGAATGCTTTATTGGAAGACTTGCCTTTAGAAACAAGTCTGGGAGCCAAATTAATTGGCCGCATATAGTGTGTTATTATTCCCATCGGCACGGGAGCAGCCGCAAGAGCAAGATAAAGCTTCATAACCTTTTTCTCCTATAAAGAAAAAAATTGTAAATCATTGCTATCAAATTAAGAAACAAAAAGCATTAACTACTTTACCAGTATAGGGAGTATGATGAAGATTTAAATGGAAAACTGGAACATGAGTGAATGAACAGAGGAAACTTATGTTACAATATGTGAATACTTAACCACAATGATCAAACTCAAGAAATAAGATCATGAAACTTACTCTAATTTTGCGATGGAAGATGGAGCAATATTCTTTTGTCCTAGCTAGAATGACGCTGCAAAAGTGCGATGAACGAAAACACGTATTTTGAAGAGAGGCATTATATTGGACATAAAAATATCTACAAGAAACATCATTACCAGCCCTCGGTGCAATTGTCAATCTGATGGGTAGTCCACAAGGGAGACGTTAATCCTAAAGCACGAGTCGCAAAGGTGACACAAGTTTCTTCGATGTTGTTCGTAGTGCCCCCAACCTAACAGAATATTCATCATACTTAACAATTAAGAAATGAATGTTCAGCTAGATAGTATTGATGCAAATAAATTGTCATTCTATGAATGTTCAGCTAGATGGTATAAATTGTGTCATTCTCCATAAGTGAATGTTCAAGCCAGAGATTAATGGTTCAAGTGTTCAACCACAGACCGATGTACCAGCAGGTTTGTCCAAAACCACATAGGATTCTGTCACGGCGATAATTCTTGATTTCCAATCAATTTCATAACACCTGATTGATTGTAAATTTCAACAAGCATCATTCTATTATGAACATCATTCTGTTTTTGAAAGACAAAAAAGGTAGTTCTTTTCACCTTGGAAAACGTTTGGGATGCACGTAAACACGCAAGTACATTCCAACCTCCACGAAATCATCAATGCGAGTTATTCGGAAAGTCTTCTGTGCTTCTCCCATAGTTTTCCCTTTGATAGATTTTCGCCCTTTCAAAAATGTTGGTTCTGTAAATTTTTTGAATAGTCTAATTTGCTCTGGGGTAGCAGTTGGCGGAGGCCGTGGGCAGACTAAGGCATAATGTACAGCACCAAAATGAATGAGATCTGCAACGTACCTTCAAACAGTGAAGCTATTAATTCATTGCTTCATCTATTTAGACTTAACATCATGTTGCAGAATATTATTATGAACAACCAAAAGATAGAACTTACAGAGGAGGAAGATCCAAGGATTTAGAGATGTATTCCATAACAGGACCCTCTTCCAAAACGACCAGATGTTCAACTCGTGGTGGTTCCTTGAATGAGGGACATGGAAGCAAACGATGATATTGAGGATACCTGAAATTAATTTCAGTCTTAGCATGCTAAATCCTCAAGGAATCATGAAAAGGGAGTTCAATAACAAATCATGATTACTGCTAGTGCATTAAGCATCCAAGAGAGTAATCGTCAAAAGTGCCAGAAAACCATTTTCCCTTCATTTGACTGTAGAAGGTAAAATTTGAAGTTTGGGGCTGTTGAGGATCCCACATTGGAAAGATGGGGGAGACCTCACAGTATTTAAATGATATGTGGGTTATGCTTCCCGTTGCCAATTGGTTTTGAGATGGAGTCTCATGTTTATCTATTATGATATTATAGCCTAAACCTCAATGTGAGATCCCACGTCGGTTAGAGAGGAGAACAAAGCATTCTTTATAAGGATGTAGAAACTTCTCCCTAACAGACGTGTTTTAAAATCGTGAGGCTGACGACGATATGTAACGAGCCAAAGCGGACAATATCTGCTAGCGGTGGGCTTGGGTTGTTACAAATGGTATCAAAGCCAGACATCGAGCGATGTGCCAACGAGGACACTGGGCCCCCAAGGGGGTGGATTGTGAGATCTCACATCGGTTAGAGATGGGAAAGAAGCATTTCTTATAAGGGTGAGGAAACCTCTTCCTAACAGACATGTTTTAAAACCGTGAGGCTAACGGTGATACATAACGGGCCAAAGCGGACAATATCTGCTAGCGGTGGGCTTGGGCTGTTACACTCAAACAAGTATCGGATCCCAAAAAAGAAAGATTTGATCCAGAAATGGTGAACCCAAAGATGATCATTTTGAGGGGGCACGTATTCCAAAGAGGGGAGACCT